TTTTATCATGTCCTTGGAGCGCTTAGTGACTGCTGGCTCAACGGTTCCCATGAGAAGGAGCATTCACGAATTCTTTTATTACTGTTTTGTAATGGATTGCCCGTTATGTGTCTGGATTGCAACACGCAACCTCGATTGAGGCAACAGCCTACCTTGAAACAAAACACTGGCATTCTAACTATTTGGATCACAGAGTTCGTTTAAAACCAAACCCTAACCTCAATCAAGTTCGCGAGTCAGAATGCAATCATACGACGGGTGCTCCATGACCAGTCAACCAACTTCTAACCGCTGTGTCAAGCGCTGGTTATGAAGCTTTGGCTTATTGTTCAAAGCGGAAGCGGCAAACCACTAGGTGTCGAGTTCCTCTCTCAACTCATGCTATCTCTAAGCGACCAGTCTAAATCAGGATGAAACTTGATTTTTCTGGAGTGCAGTATTTGGGAGAGTAGCTCCGAAACCTTACATTTAGGGATTATTCGATTGTTTTAGTCCACGCTAAAGGTAACTTGGACCTAAGTACTAGTTTTAAGTATTAAAATTAACCGAGTGGCCAAGGCAGTAGGTCAAGGATGTTGAAAATGACATCTTAGCACATTAACGTCCCAATCCGAAGCGTGTTTCAAGATGCAGTCATATGTGAACATCACGTGAGAGGTAGTAAAACAGCAAAGAAATCTTTGCAAGCTAGCTATAAAAAGTGCGTCATTAAAAGGCGGTTCTTGCTGTCCACTTTAAAGCTTCCTGTTGAAGGCTGAATAGAAGAATACTTCTGTTGGAGTCACTATGGAAGGGCAGCCACACTCTTCTACCCAATGCTTATGGATGAGCGGTTCGAAATAGGAATGAATTCCGGCCGACTTAAAGAACTTTTCTGCAGTTCGATTGATATATTGGGCCTTTCATGTCTAGTAGGTGGTCTGCGACGTTGAGGCGTACGTGAGTAAAACGTGCATCAAATGTCGGGAATTTCTTGTACTTTTGCGCCATTGCACACTAAAATTGAAAAGAAGCAGTAGCCCAATTAAAATGACGTATTTACCGATGTGCTAGGCAATTCACGTGGCTACGATTATCAGCTATTTACCAGACTGCATGTGATAAACCACACAGCGTGTCTAACACATCCTGCGGAAATTCACTTGGTCCGACTAAACACAGCGTGTTTGGTGGTGTGTTTGTACGACTAGTAAATACTAGTCCGAGACGGTGCGCGAAATTAAGCGCGGATATCAGAAGGTAATTGGAGTCGGACACAGAGGACAGTATTCGGTGGGCTACAAGAAGACGTGGACGGATGAAGCGAGACAAGAGCAACACGTTAGCGGGGGAACTTACAAGACGGCCAAGTGTCGAGCCAGATGTAAGTCAACACGGACGTAATGTAAAGGAGATTAAAACAAGAAAGAATAGTGTACAATTGGTCATCAGCGAAGTTATGCACAAAAGATAATAGCTATCTCTTGGGTTGCTAGAGCTCCGCCCCTAGAAGGCTGAACAAAAGAAGCCTTCGAGGTCGAAAATGACGTGTGAATCGAAGATGGTTGCGCAAAATCGTGCCGAGTGAGTGGGCGTTCGGGTCAAATGGGGGTACGCCGGAAGTCGGAGTCCGCTGTGCCCTTTGTGCTTTTTTATTTATTTATTTCAGAACAGGGTGCATGTCGGCGAGCCGTTGGAGTGAGCTTGTCGGAGTACAAAAAACTGGCTAGCCCAAAAAATAGCCGACAGGACCTCAACCTCCGCTGTTGCCAAACGGTGCGCTTAGGATTGGTCTCTCCTCCCGCCGCATCCCACCTCGCGCCAAAACGACCCTCGTCCCACGAAGAAACGACCGTCATCCCACGAAGGCGCGACCCTTGTCCCTCAGAGAAACGACCAGGGTTTGCGCTAGGATGCTCGTTGACCGCGTCGATCCTCGAAAACTTTGCTCGTGTGGGCTAGCCGATCAAAATGGAAGGTGTGAGCATATACATACGAGAAAATAGAAAAACATGCACAGAAAACGCCAGAGAAAAGGAACAAATGTTCTGCGTATTTATATTTATTGGTTTTTGAATATATTTTTAGAAAAAGGCTTTTTCGAACGTTTTTGCATTTTTGTTTTCAAAACGTTAATCTATCAAAAAGGGGAAATATATACCATATTTACGAACCTAAACGTATTTACACTGTGCACAGTCGGAAAATCGAACGGGCTTACGCGCCTTCCGACCACGGTGACTGGTCGTGGGAGGCCGCGGGCTAGATTTTGGAGATATCAGGATATCTGATGCTTGTTGACCAGTATCGTGGTCTGGTTGAACTACACTAGGCTGCTGAAAGTTGGTACGGTGAGTTATGACGTCGCACGATGCACTTCTAGACTAAGTAGGCGAGGTGGTTTCTTCCATGAAGGCAGGCTTCAGATGATCGATGGTGACAACTTCGCGTCGACCACCGCGGTCAATAGTGTAACATTTATTCGCACGGTGTAACACTTCGAAAGATTCTATGTACGGCGTATGAAGAGGCTATCGAACACCAGCTGCGCGCATAAGGACGTGTGAGCATGTAGGCAGCTCCTCGGGCACGTACACTGGTGTCTTCTGCGATCGAGGAGCGAGTGGACGTAGTTCACGCATCTAGTGAGCCAATCGATCAGTGTAACCTCCGTAGTCAAAAAGGGAAGTAGACGGGGCTGGCGCTACCAGCTGTCCGGGCAAGCGCAGTGTGCAACCGTAGACTAGCTGCGCTGTTGTTTTGTCAAAATCGGTTTTAACCGTGTTTCTTAAGCCTAGGAGGACGAAGGGAAATGTTTCAGACCACGAAGGATCCACGCGCTTACGTAAGGCTGCCTTTTGCTGGCGGTGAAAACGCTTCGCCATGCAGTTAGTGGTCGAATGATACGCCGTCGTCTGGATGTGGCAGTAGCCTAAGTCCTTGAGCAATGTAGCCAACATGCGGTAAATGTGTGACCCACGATCCGTGGTCATTATAGCAGGGCATATATTCTTTGCAACTTAGCGTTTTAAAAAAGCATTCGCGACTGTTGCTGAAGTGCAATTTTGGATAGGGACGGCCTCTGGCCATCCAGTAAATCAATTGACGCAGGTCAGTAGATTTACAGAACCTTTCGAAGGCGGTAGTGGACCTACGACGTCGACGTGCACTTGATGAAAACCTGCGTCTGGCGTCGGAAACATGCCTAATGGGCTTTTCGGGTGCTTGTGCACCTTCGCGCGTTGACACGGAATGCAGGCAGCTGATCAGGTACGGATATCCCGATTGACATTGCGGTTAACTAATCTTGCAGTTACAAGTTTAATCGATGCACGAACGCCTGGGTGAGACAAGCCGTGCAACGTGTCAAACACTATCTGTCGAAACTCGCGTGAGACGACTGGGCGCGGGTTTTCCAGAGAGAAATCGCAAACCATAATCCTGTCTGAGGATGCCAGTGGAACAGGTTGTATGTCCAGTGAGGGAGACCTGCGTAGTAGATCAACCTCAGGATCGTTGAGTTATGCTGTGGCCATGACTGTCAATTTAATAGCAGTGCTGGCGTCAGCGGAAATCGCTTGGATTCGGGAAAGTGCATCGCGACGGTGTTGTGCACACCTGAAACATGTCGTATATCGGTCGTAAACTAAGCGATATGGTCAAGGTGACGAGACTCTCTAGGAGAATATCGGTCGGTAGTCGAGCCGAGCACGTAAGTCAGGGGTTTGTGATCGGTGAAGACGGCAAAGTAGCGGCCTTCTGAGACGTGTCGAAAGTGACGTATCGCTAGATATACGGCTACTAGTTCCCTACCGAACGTGCTGTAACGAGATTTGCTAGGTTATAGGCGTTTGGAGAAAAACGCTAAGGACTGCTACGTGTCGGCTACTCGTTGCTGCAGAACAGCGCCGACTGCTACCTCCGAAGCGTCAGCACTGGGGGACAGTGTGTCTGCTGGATTGTGATGCGCTATAGAAGCTATATTGGCGATAGTGTATTTCAGTGACTTAAAAGCGGCGTGTGCTGCGGAAGGAAATTCGAACTTCTGGAGTTTTCCTCGATGAAGGTCCGTCAGAGGTTGCATCAGCGACGCGCAGTTTGGTATGAACCGTCAGTAAAAGTTGACAAGCCCATCAAAACGCCTAATTTCTTTGAAAAAATGAGGCTCGGGATAGTCGATGGTGGCTTGTATTTTATCCTGCAGTGGTACGACGCCTGCAGAGGAGATACGATAGCCGAGTAAGTTGACTGAGGCGACACCAAACAAACACTTTTCTGCGTTTATCGCCACCCCGTGTTAAGATAAACGATCAACAAGTGTTCGTACGTGGCGTACGTGCTCTTCTTGTGAAGAGCTTGCGATTAAAATATCATCGAGATACGCGTAAGCGAAGTCTAAGCCACGACAAACTTGGTCGATGAAGCTCTGAAATGTTTGGGCGGCATTCTTTAGACCAAATGGCATGCGCAGGAATTCGAACAAACCAAATGGAGTTATCACGGCAGTTTATCTATATCCGCAACTTCACCCTTCCAAGTAATACTTACTTCACTATCCCCTACCTCAAAATCATCTCACTAAAACCCCACCCTCCATCTTTTCTCCCCCCCCATATACCCTAATTTACTCTAAATTCCATTACCTTTCCAACCCATAACTCCATTCTCCCCCCTTACTCCCTACCCCTATCCCACCCACCTTTTCACATTTTCCTCCACCCTACTCCCATTTCATAACTCCTCTATCCTCTCCTCTTTATTCAATATTACCCCAACCGAACGATTTCCACTACTAATATACATTCTCCACTCCTTCATTTTTCGAGCTCTACCTTTTTTGACCGCTCGTGAAAATTGTTATAACTAATCTTCTGTTTTACAAGCTAATCTCAGCCGCTGTACTAACCATTTCGTGAAACATTCCCTACTTATTAACCCCATCATTTTCCCACTCTCAATCCACTTTCATCAACTCTTGGCTACCCTTACTAACTCTACACACCCCCACTAATATAACTTACTATCACACCTACCATCACCCCCCCCCCCCCCCCCCCCCCCCCCAATATACCCCTAAACCCCCCCAAAAACCCCCCCCCCCCCCAAAACCCCCCCCCCCCCCCACCCCCCCAAATTTTCTCTCCCCCTATAAAATTTTACTGTGGCGACCAACATCAACAAGCAACCCAAAATGTCGGAGGAAGTCGATACCGATAATTGCGAAGGGTACAGACGCAACCATGTAGACCCACTGTAAGTCTCGGCGAAGACTGAGGTCCAGGTTCATCATGCGCTGACCGAATGAAGCTATCGGAGAACCGTTGGTCGCACGCAAATTGTACGTAGGCTCTGAGTGCTTGTCGTTAGCGGTCTTTGGAATGACGCTGATCTCCGCTCCCGTGTCGATGAGGAACGTGATGGAAGAACGTCGATCATTAACGTAAAACAGTCGGTTTGCTTGGTTATTGAATGATACGTTTGTCGTGCTAGTATGCGGGCTATTCGTTTTCCCTGAAGCAGCTGGGTCGTGTCTAATGCAGGGAGCCCGACAACGTATAGCTCTTCCACCGTATTGGCAGTGATACCAACATACTTCTTCGACGGATTTGACATTATCTGACTGAGAACCTGTAGGGAAAATGTTGCACTTTCGTGCCGAACGTGACGTACTCAGTGCAAGCACAGACGAGCCGCAATGAACGGTAGCCAAAACATGGTCAGCATTTGACCGTGGCACACGCTGCTTCGAAGCCTTCATTGCTGCTATCCTGCTGCGAAGTGGCGCAATTTCCTCGTCTTTAGAGTCAGACCGGCCTAACGACTGGGAACAAACATGAGATTCGGTTTTCGTCGGTGCGAATACGTCATCGGAGCTACTGGTCGTCTGCTGCGGAAGACGTTCGAACGCAGCGTCTGCCTTGGTAGCTAATTCTTTCAGGGGTGTATCTATAAACATGGACAACATTACCGGCAATGGCTCTAGGAGACGTGCAAAGCACAGCTCCTTTATCCCTTCTTCGCTCAAGAATAAGGGACCAGCGATGCGCTGAAGTTCGCGGAGCAACGCCGACGGCTTGCGATCTCCAAGCTTGAGACCATTGAGCTGCTCAAATCGAGTTCGTGCGCTGGGCTGTAACTCTTTTAAAATCGCTTGCTTCATGGTTTTACACTTTGCCTCATTCGATGGGCAGAGTAGAATGTCCTCAATCAGCGTCATAACCGACGGAGGAAGGCGTGGGACGAGCTGATTGTACCTCAGACGGTCCGCCGTAATGCCCTTATTTTCCAGTTTGATCTCGAATATCGTAAACCAAACTTCTGGATTGTGTTCCATGAAACTTGGAACAGCCAAAGTAAGCATGTTTACGCTGTGAAACGACTCAGATGCCACTCCCGAAATGTGAATCGAAAAGATAAAGGGTGACCAAAAACACTATAAAAGTACTAACATTACGCAAGAAACAAATGAACAATGAACAATGATTTATCACGGGATAAAAACAAGTGCTTGACACGTCCTGTAGGATGGTAGCGGTGAATATGAGGCAATTAAAATATGTCTGGGTCATCTATCGAACGTCTGCCGAGATGAATACTTTGATAATTAACATCAGTGTGAAATGAAAAAGAAATATCGCGCGTAAACATTCAGAAAGACAATGGGCCCAGTGATAGTTGAGGTAAGGAGTGAGAAAATAAAATATGGTCGCTCACTTAGGTCCATTTGATACATTAGTCCTGTTGAAAACATGCTTGGCGTAATCCACAACAGAGGAGCTTAGGTAACAAAATGTTGGGAGCTAAGAGCAACATCTAATCGTTTTTTGAAAACATCCAGGGTAGGAGAGGATACAACTGAGTCTGGGAGTGCGTTCCAAGGTTTGCAAACCCGAAGGGAAAAGTAATTCCGTCGACACTCTAGACGGCTATATTGTTCCTTCAACTTTAAGCAGTTACCCCTGAGCTGCGTGTTGTGGCTAAGTTTCAGCAAATGGCGGCATACGTGGTTGGGGTCACTCAATATCTGATACGCTAATATGAGATCGCCGCGCAGCCGTCGATAACGTCCGCTGAAAATTCCCAGCAACTTCAGCCTTTAGTGGTAAGAGTGATACCGCAGGCCCTTCACGTTCTTTGTTGCTCTCCGTTGTGGTGCCTCTATCGCTTCTAGGTCGCGTTTCAACCAAGGTTGCCAAGCTTGGATTGCGTACTCAACATGCGGGCGCACGTAGGAATTGAGCATAATTGGGAAGATTGATGGGTCAAATCTCCCGAATGCCCTTCGCAGCATGCCGACGTGCTGGTTGCCTCGTTTGGCAGCTACCTCAGCCTGTTTTGAACAGTTGAGGTCGCTCTGTACGATCACACCAAGATCACGTTCCTGGGAGCTATTCTGCAATTCGTTTGTCCCAAGTATGTAGGTGTAGTTATGTCTATGGCGTAATTGTACTACGCGACATTTGTCTACGTTGAACGGTAGAGCGTTATGAACTGACCAGTTCGACACTGTGTTAAGATCGTGCTGGAGCCGTTCATGGTCATCCGGTCCTCTGATCCTTCGCCATATCTTGATATCATCAGCGAAAAATAAGAAATCAGAAGTAATTGATCTCGCCAAATCGTTAATGAACACCAAGAATAGACGAGGTCCAAGAACCGAGCCTTGTGGTACTCCACACGTCACGTCGATTGCATGAGAAAATGATTCTCGGACTCTCACCACTAGCCGTCGTTCTTGTAGAAAATTGTTAATCCAACTCAGGATTGGATCACCAATGCCGTAGTTCCGAAGCTTCTGAAGGAGAACTCGATGGTCTAAACGATCAAACGCTTTTGAAAAGTCCAGGTAGATGACATCGACTCCAACCCCATCATCAACAGCTTCAGTCCAGCTATTACGTGCAATTAATAGGTTAGTATTACACGAATGCTTTTGACGAAAGCCATGTTGCTCTGGGGCTATTAAATTGTGGCTTTCCAAATATTGCATCAGCGCGTCTGCGACGATTGATTCCATCACTTTGGATAGTACGGGAAGTAGTGTTATTGGACGGTAGTTTGCAGGATCAGTGCGGCTACCTCCTTTATGAATAGGAGTGATGACCCCTCGCTTCCATACTGGTGGAATAAGGTTTTCCGCTAGACATCGCTGATAGAAAACAGCCAGTGGTCCTGCTAGATCACTAGCTACTGCCTGTAGAGCCTTTGGTCGGATGTTATCAGCTCCGGGAGAACTGTGGATACGCAAGGATAACAACTTCTTCAACACAGCCTCCGTAGTGAAGGTGATGTTTTCTAAACCAGATGGTGGAGTATTAGAAATGAGGTGAATGTTTGGGCTCGACACTTGTTGGAACGTTTGAGAGTAATGAAGCCGTAGGAGATCAGCTGCTTCCATTGCTGACCGCGTGTATCCATCAGCCGTGACTAGCGCCGGAACGCCTCGCTTTACCTTTCGAAGGCCGTTAATGTGCCTATACAGGAGTTTGTGGTTAGTGCAGAATCGCTTCATTAACTTCTGCTGATGCGTGACCTTGTCTTCGCGGATCAGTTTCACACAGAAGTTACGATGTGTCACGTATGCAGTCCAGGTTTCGGCATTCGGGCAACCCTGGTGATTTCGCCATGCCAAATCCCTCCGGGACATACATTTACGTGTTCTGCTCCTCAGAAATGACTTACTCTGGTTTTTGGGTTGGAAGGACTTTTGTTCCGATGCTTGCGCTACCAGTGTGCTCAAAGTCCTTGTAAACATATCCCAGGCCAGGTATGTAATCGAGAAAAAGAAACGAACTCACCAAAAAAGCGAACAATGAAAAAGTCTAAATCTGCGCGTGCCAATCGGGTCACCTATTTGTAGGACTAGTAAATACTAGTCCGTGACGGTGCGCAAAATTAAGCGCGGATATCAGAAGACAACTGGAGTCGGACACAGCGGACTGTATTCAATGGGTTACAAGAAGACGCGGACGGATGAAGCGAGAGAAGAGGGAACACATGAGCGCAGGAACTTACAAGGCCATCGAGTGGCTAGCCGGTTGTAAGGAAGATTAAAACAAGAAGGAATAATATACAATCGGTCAGCAATTAAAGTATACATGAAAGATAGCAGTTATCTTTTTGGGTGCTACAGCTGCACCTGATCAAAAGCTTTAGCGCATCTAATGTTCTGCCGATATACAAAGATCATGCGAGGCAGTTATACTGATTAGGAGTTCTTAGTGGCACGTAGTGAAAAAACGAGTATTCAAGCAGCAGTGTAATTTATTAGCTTTCTTGACAGTAAGATTTCTACAGTTTTAGCTTTGTGATGTCCCTGCAGAATTTTGGATAACATAGATGTGCTTTTTATTGGGCGATACGTTTTGAGCTCGAACAGAGAGCCTGATTTATGTGCGACCCAACAATGGCTTCTTTACCCTGAGTTGGTACAGCGAGCATGGATACATTTAGCATACACAGCGATAGTAGGAGGAGATCATCCCCGTCCTATCTCATAATTACGTGGGAATATCGTCTGAACCCCCTAAATATAATAACTTTGTGCCCCTAATAAGTTTGTGTGTATTGTGGAGCTCAAATATACTAAATTTGAGCTAATTGACTGTAAGTAGCGTCACGAAAATTCATACGGGTTCAGTATCCACGGTGAAGGGGCCACAGAAATAATTGTTTAACAATTGGCTAGTCTGAGTGGGGTCTGTTATGTTGCGATCATCTGGTGCTGTGTGAAAGATTGTGCTTTGATTACGTTGGCTAGTTCTGAGTTTTATGAGGCAGGTCATTTCACAATTCCTGAATCGACTGCCGAAGTCCATTTTTTCATTCACGAGTTGTTCGGTATGATAAGCAGCTACAGTGATGTGGCCGAGTGATGGTGTTGCGTCATGAATGCGAAGTTATTCGCTTTGCGGTGGGCCGTAAGTAGCTTTTTGTGGTTAGCAGCTGCTTTTCGTAGCACAGTCTTTTTGCGACTTGATGGAAGTGTCTATTTGATAGGAGCCAGTATGCCGAGCGAGGGAGAATAATTCCGTTATATAGAGCATTACAATGAACAACGAACAATGAACTTATAAGGGTGAAGTGGGACAAGAGCAACACATTAGCGCGGGTAGTTACAAGACGGCGAAGTGTCGAGCCGTATGTTCGATGGATCCTCACGATAACCGCTTTTGTAAATAAGAGTGACTAGTCCATAATTTCCCATTGTGTATGCAGGCAAAGATGCACCTGAGTGGACGGGCCACGGATGACTCAGCAGTTGTCTCGTGTGAAGCAACGCTTTGTCTTAGCTCCTGCCCTGTTTAATATTCACCTTTATGCCGGTATGTGTCCGTTTGCTGCGGCTTGTGCTTACGCTGTTCACGTAGAGCACCGTCATGATGGTAGGTTGCTAAACATCCGTCGTTTCGGTGCGAGAACCCTAGCTTGTCAGACAATTATACGTAGGTTACTGTTCGCCGACGGCTGTGCGTTATTTTCACACAGCGCGGATGAGTTACAGCACATGACTATTGCTCTGGCTTCGACAGCGGCCAAATTCGAGCTCACCATCAACGCCAGCAAAACTGTCCGTCTTTTTCAGCCTTCACCGGTAGTGCAATCTGCACTGGTGCTGCAAAGCAGCTTTGGTGATGACGTATTGAAAATCATCTCTCGCTTCTGCTACCTTAGTAGTATGGTTTGGACTGACCAGCAAATATACGCTGAGCTTCGTATCTGCGTATCAAAGGTAGTGGCGGCAATCAGGAAGCATGAGTACCGTTAGCACGAAGCCGCTAGTTCACCAGTCCATTGCGCTGTCCGTACTTCCATACGGCAGCGGAACGTAGACGATGTACTGGCGAGATGTTAGATATATCGTTTGGTTTCATCGACAGTGTCTGCGACGGATTCTGCGCATCGGTCGGTGCGGCAGAGGTGCAGACATGGAGGTGTTGCGGCAAGTGGTATTTACGCGGTGGACTGCATACTTTTGCTGAAACACCTGAGTTGGCTCGGTCATGTGTGCCTCATGGCTTCGACGGCGGTACCGAAGCAGCTGATATGGTCAGCGGAATGTGGAGAAGCGGCATGTGTGGAAACCGAAGCTTTTTACCATGACTTGATCAAGGTGAGCCTATCATGTCCTAGTGTTGATTTCAGGTTTTGGGAATGGAAAGCGGTTGATCGGCCTGCATAGCGCAGTCTGATTACGAAAGTAGTTGCTGATGTACAGGAGATAGCCGTCGTGCATGTGGAGAAGAAGCGGTAGGCGCGGAAGCGACAGGCGCCCATGAAGTGTTGTCCATCAACGTCGAGCGCATGGTGCTGAGGCACATGCGGTCGCCTCAGTCAAGCAGATCTAATGAACCATGAGCGAGACCACTCGGGACCGGTATCGAAACGACGACGGGTGCTTCCGAAGACGTAAGCAGAACCGCCGTCACGTTGGTAGGTACGCTACATGCGCTTCCATTCGATGTACTAAAAGCGTGCTTGCGCACTGACTTTCGTTAGTTCAGGTGATTGGTTTGCTCTATTGTCTTAATGATTATTCCCTGCCTCATTTTAAGGTCTACCCGAATAATCCATTAACTTACATATGTCGCTAAAATGAAAGGTAATTAACTGTCACAGTTTAACAATTGCGGACTTAGCGCTCAATGGCTGGCTCGTAGCCGAAGTATCATAAAGCAGAACACGTCAGGCAACCGGAAGGCAAAACTATATTCTAACCAGCAT